GTCCTACACACACACACACAGACCGACATTGCCACACTTCATCAAATGAGCAAAATGGGATTGAATCTTCCCCTAGAACATGGAAGTATCCACTGCCACAACATGGAAATATACACTGCCAAAGACCGAAAATGGGCCAATGTATTTCTCCATGTCCTAGCGACAGATTGATGCCAACTTAGGGCACACTCACACTCTGTCTAGCCTTACGATATACTGACACTGAGACCCTCTGGGACATACTCACACTGGGATTTCGGGCAACTTAGGGCGCGCTTATACTCTGACTATCCTTACAGCAATACAGGTGCGGCAGGGTCACATGCCAGCGCCCCGCCGCACCTGTGACTTGTTTTTTTAATACATAAACGTTTTTTTTTTACTACCCTATTTTATTCTCTCATTCTTGTGTCCACCTCACACTAGCTACCTGACTACCCTACATTATCTTCTTACATATCTAGTATGGAGACTTACCTGGTCTGTGCACCAGTTCGACCACAATCACATTTAAAAGTACTAACCAGGCCTAAGCTATCCTAAGGTTATGGGTCTACGCCTACCTAACTCTGCTCTGTGCGGGGAGCAGCACCCAAGCTTAGGTGGGTCTACACCTGGCTCGGGCTGGAAATAGAGAGGAAAACCTCCACGACCAGCCAGGAGGGACAAGCCGACTTTTCCCAGTCGGTGAACCCAAAGTGTGCCACACAGGGGGTCTTGGAGAGTAGAATGGATGCTGTGGGGAAACGAACCCACGACCTGCTGTGACCCTCTGCCACTGAGTCGTTCTGTTGCTGCACAGACTCTGAATAAATTAAACAGGATATACACCGCTACATGACTTTGTTGCTTTTCTCTGAAACTAAGAAGTGAAAGGTTGACCTAAAAAATGAAAAATAGGCACCTGGCTGGTTTACCATATATAGCATATAGCTACAATATTAGAAGATCGTGGTATGTAAAACCACGATTTCAAAAACTTGAAGTTAAAAGGACCTTTACCCGTTCAGACCCTGAATGACGAACGCAGCAAAAAGGGGTCCACTCAGCCAGAACTCAATTCGTGAAAATCAGATCAAAAACAATGTTCTCTGGGTCAGAAGTCACATCCTCACTAAGTGAGAAGTCATGTCAAAGGTCACAATATGCCCCAGGACGAACAGTTGCAGCATACAATTGTGGGAGGAGTCACACCTGTTCATCCAGGGGGCTGTGCAGGTCATGTCTGTTCGTGCAGTAGATGTGCCTGTTCGTGCAATAGATGTGTCTGTTCATAAAGAAGTCAAAGAAATAAGGTTCCAGTCCAGATCCAAGTCAATGGGGGAGTCTAGATGCAGTCTGGAAGTCCGAAATTCAGGCCTGAAGGCCGCAGCAGCAGCAGACCCTGAGGAAAAGGTACCGGGACACATTCTGCAGTGGTCTGGGACTGGGGAAAGACCCAAGAAAGACTGATTCAGACCTCGCGAAGGGAGGCCAGCACTATAAGAGACCAGGCCAGCCTCCCCACACGACAGATCTCCACTGGCATAGATGCGTGGAAGTGCTGAAGCACTTGTGCGCATGCAGGGAGAATGCGCTGGCTGGAAGCTGCGCAAGCAGGAGAAGAAGAGGCTGGGCGCTGACTGGTAGAAGCAGCCATAGTTGCGCCAGCATGGTTAGTAGAAGTGGAGGGGTTAGTAGTAGATATCAGTGAGTAGCATTCAGAGTAGATCCTCATAAGTAGGGAGTGAGCATGCAGAGTGAGACAGGGGAACCAAGACAGAGATCTCATGAGGGAGAGAGGGAGAAGACAGGTTAAGGAGTTGGATATGGTGGATACTTACCTGTTGGCGCCATACCTGTGATCTGAGGGCGGACGCTGGCTGAGCCAGGCCCTATTTTGAGAATGGAACGAAAGAGACTTGTACTCTGTTGGCGCTGAACTCTTGGACTCGAGATACTCTTTGTATGGTGTTGTTGTGATAATATGAGCTGCGCTATCTGGTTCTCATCTCATCTCGATTTGGCTTCGTGTGAAGTTTCTCTATCTGTATGATGACATCTATGCATGCAATGAGATACACTCCAGCAAGCTATAACAGTCAGGTTCCTTGCAAAGTTAAGCTAGGCCACCAGGATGCCAGGGAGGGCACCTGTGCAGGTCCCCAGCCGTCCAGCCACCCCGTGTGCCCGGGGCATGCAAAATTCCTGCCCTTCCTTTTTCTTCTTTGGGTTCATTCCTTGTTGTACTGTAGGCACTGTATCTGAACTGATGCGCATGCCACATGCCTTGCCCAAGACTGCTGCTGATCGTAGACAAGCACGATGAGAAAAAGGAAAAGTCCCAACCAATGTCTCACCTGTTTGTGCATGGCAGCGAGCGCTGTGAAGAGATCTCGCATGTAACACTGAACGTCCTTAACTGACGCAGCCCTTTTCAAGACCTGCCCACAAGTCAGACCACTATGTGAAAGCACTGTTAAACACCTCGTAGATCTCTCTAACCACACAAACCACAGCACCGAAAACACACACACACACACACACACACTACAAAAAACAAAACAAAAAAAAAAAACACCGCCATATCCTGCAAATCAAACCGTCCAAGAGATGGATTGTCCGTTAGAGAAACAATAAACGGTGTACAGAGGTTCTTTCGACCAAGACGGATGGAAGAATGGGTTGGTTGGGTCTATCATTCTAATATTTTGACTTGCAGGCGGAAAAGGAACTGGGCTGACGCTCCCCAGAATGGACTGGAGGCAGGACCATAAGGACCTCTTTCTATATTAAAAAAAAAAAAAAAAAAAAAAAAAAGATTGGTAGGCAGGAAGTGGAAGAGGTACTGAGCAAACGGCGCAAAGGGTGCAAAGAGGAAGGCTCAGTTCCAGTTTGCGAGTTGAGGCAAACAAGAAACAGTCGGGGTTGAAACACTCTCGACCTATTCTCAAACTTTAAATAGATAAGATTTCGGGGTTGCTTAAGCAAAAAAAAAAAAAAAAAAAAAAAAAAAAAAAAAAAAAAACAACAACAGTCGAATGAGGGCAGAAGAATATTCCGAGGAGGTGGAAACACATTCAGACGACAAGTAGCAAAAACAGATGACATAGAAAAGAGTGGAAAAAAATTCAGACGAGAGAAAAGTACCGAGAAAAGACTCGAATAAGGACTTTAAATAGGTAAAAAAAACAAGGCAGAATGAGAACTAACTTCAACTAAGTTAAACTACCATCTTCCCCCCAATAGAACGTACAGTCATTATCCCTGTATCTAGACTAAAACTTGCCCCAAATACAGCAATAATGACCGCGCGTTTGGTTCTACTTGGGAGGAAGACAGTACCGACTGCAGATGGAATACAGAGGAGAGAGAAAACCCTAACAAATGGGCGTTTCAAATCAATCAAAGGGCCAGAAATAGATTCCATTCACTTGTCAAAGTCAACAGGCAATAGGAGTACAATATTCTTTGGTGTAGTGAACAGAAACTGTTTCCATTCAAATTGGAATGATACAGAGAAGATTCACATGGCCACTGCTCAAGGATGACACGCATAAATCGAGAAATGGTTCTTTTTTTCCTTTTTTTCTTTTTTTCTAAAGAACTGTTTCCAACAGGGATCGCTCTTAGATTATCTATGTTGTGATGTTGCTGAGCTACATGGTGTTTTTAACTCCTCGGTTACGGAGTCACTTGTGGAGAGTTAAGGAGAGCAAGTGAACTCTTTTGGAGAATTACTTCAGCGCAGGCGACACTCCCTAACACAATTACTACATACAACCTACTTCAGTACGGGTTTGAAAGTTGAGCTCCCGGCTTGCAAATGACATGTCGGGCCCTTTGACGTACAAATTCTATCCTAGGCACATGCAGACAAGACATCAATAACGTGGGCCTTGCGCCACTACTCACCACATGCACAAAAGACAAAAAATATGGTCGTGTAGTCTTCCCCTGTTCTAGCGGAAGATTCATTCTCATTTTGCTCATTTGGCGAGTAATGGAGCGAGGGCCCATGTCAACTCTTCACCCACAAAGTCAAGGGATGTCTGCTCTAATGGCTGTACAATTTGCTTTTGTGGTTCTAAGTTCTAACACTTCAGTGTAGTTTTTGGCTTTTTTTTGCCCTTTTCCAGCTTTTTTCCATAAGCTCGGCTGGTCTTTTTTTTTTTTTTTTTTTTGTGGGGGGGGGGGGGGGGGGGGGGGGGGGGGGGGGGGTCATTTCTCAATTTATGTGTGTCATCCTTGCGCAGGGGTCATGCTAATCTTCTCTGTATCGTTCCAATTTTAACAAATGTCCCAGAAGACAGGCATGGCATGCCAATTTCTACCCAGGAGCTGAAGAGAAATCTGATGCCTTTGTTGAGAAGGGTGGAATTCTCTGTACTACCGTCTTCACCCGAATAGAACACCGGTCATTAACGCCGCATCTAGACTGAAACTTACACCAAATGCAGTTAGGATGACCAGGCGTTCTATTCGTGTGAAGACGGTACAGTCAAGACCAATCTCATAGAGGACACCTTTGCAGTGTTGCACATGTTGAGGCTATCCCACGTACATGCAAATGAAAAATATCACTCATCGCATTCAGAAAGAAAGACAAACAGCATATGCTAGTTTACACTAAATTACCCATTGGCTGATGTTCCAATCATTGGGGGGAAAAAAATTGTACACAATAATACAATACATTGTTTATACCATTTGGGAGATCCACTTCTACTTCACCCTAACCAGCTCCGATTTCCTTTCATGCATTCTGCCATGCTTCCAGAAAAAGCTCGAAAGACTAATAATAAGTGGGTGAAGCCAGAACCAAGAGGTTCTGTTTTTGCTTAAAAAAAAAAAAAAAAAAAAAAAAAAGTTGGTGACTGTACCTCAAACCGACACAGGTAGGTAGGTAGAGAATACCTTTTTTCTTTTTTTTGGGGGGGAGACCGTTTCTCGGTTTATGCACGTCATCCTTGCGCAGGGGTCATGTTAATCTTCTCTGTATCGTTCCAATTTTAACGGATATGCTGAAGGACATGTAGAGATTACCTAAGGGACGCGAGACAACTCTCCCTAAGGAACTCAGCAAAACAGCCCCGTAACTTTGGGAGGAGAATCAGGGGTGTGCCCAGTCCTTATACAGGAGGTCACAATGACCAGGTTCAGGCCACTGTTTACAAGAAAAGCACAGGTCTCCGCAGCATGCACAACTACATTGATAACAACTTAGCATATGGGAGGGGGGGGGAGGTTCCCTCTACAACATTGCCAGCTTCAATTTCCTTTCATGCTTCTGATTTATGGACTTGTGTGCAAGTAAACGTGGTTTAAAATGTCCTCACGAACCTTACCTCCGTTTTATCGTGCTCCACATAGTCAAACACAAACGCTTGTTCCCCCTTCTCGTTGCGTACAAAGTCGAGGCATTTTATAATGCAGTCCTTTCCTCTGGCAGACAGCCCACAAACACCGGAAATTGTTACATACAAACAGAACCCACTGACACCACATGAACCACAACAGAGCCACTTGAAAAGACTAACCGACCAAAAAAAAAACAAAAAGACTAACTGACCAACCACCTTTAAATCATGCACACGTGACTGCTCAGCGGAAGAAAATACAAAAAAACATTGGCAAGAGCAAAAACTTACCAAAAACTGACAATCAGACTTATGAAGTGCACGGCAAAAAAAAAAAAAAAAGTCTTTGAACCTTTTGATCGACTTTCACAAACGAGCAGATCTATCAGATGTGGGACTTTGCCTAAAACCTTTTTATGGGATTAAAGAAACTCTAAGGGCCTCGCCACACCACTCTCAAAATGTGAAAAAGACAAAAATGTGGCGGGTGCATCTGGCCATGTTCTAGTGAGAAATTCATTCTACTTTTAAACATTTCGAGAGTGGTGTGGCGAGGCCCTGAGACATGCCCTCCCTCGAAGGTCCCTCCCATGAAAGAAGATCGCAGGCACTCTTTTGCTGATAGGTTTTTCCCTATCCTACAAAGTTATTATTTCATTTTCGTTTGGGATCGAATTGGATGTGTACTTTGTCCTCTACTCTTTTTTTCCCCAATGCACTTTGTCGGTTTGTCCTCTTTACTTTCCCAATATGGAACTGTTTTCCCAAAATAATTTTGAAGATGTTACAGTAGGATTGTTGTTCAAGTGTACAGTCCCCACTCATTTACGAACCAAAAATAGGCTATGGACTTGGATCAACTAAATGATGATAAGGATGCTTTTTTTTTTTTAACTCAATGGGGCCCAAGTCATATGATAAGGATGCTTTTGAGAGGTCGTACAAACTTCATCACCAATTATTCACCGGTTACCCAAAATCAAGGCCGCAGGACCTCGCCACACGGGCCAAAACGAAACGAAAAAATGTGCAGCCACCAGGATACAAAAGTCCAGAATTTGTTTCGTTTGCAGCCCCTTCGTGACAGGCCTCACACGAATGAGCTCTTTCGGGGGGGGGGAAGTGCTCGCGCCGACATCTGCTGTCTGAACCGATCAGACTCATGCCTGTGTGAAGTCCGCACCGATTCGGACTGATTCGTGCGAGTCATGAATTTCTGTGGGTGCTCGGAGGGCAGCTTCAAGGACTCACGAAAACCACTACCCCACAATTTTTTTCACACAACTTAGCACGAAGGGCTTATTTCTCACACCTTGTGACACTTCATTCTCCACAAGAGTTTGCAATGTTGTGTGGTGGCGGGAAAACGACGCAAGTTGGTGAAAAAAACTCATCTCATTTGCTGTGCCGCGATGCCCATAGTCTTTTTGAATGTATATTGCAATCGGAACAACACGACGAGTACCAATCGAAAGGCTAGCACTGTTTTCTTGCACATGACGAAAGGCTAGCACGGTTTTCTTGCACAACGTTGACGAGTACCAATCGAAAACAGGCCAAACCATGGCTATTCTGTTGACTTTTTGTGTTTTACGATTGCTGCATCATTGTCAACATCCAATAGCCTCGATAATATGTTTATATTTCATGCGCCGGCGCTCTTGCGAGCGCTGGCAATAGATCAGATGCGAAGCGTCTGCCATTTTGTGCTATCCACTGAGATATTGCAAAACTCTGTTCTTGGAGGAGAGACAATGCTGACGGAATTCCAGAGGACTGGGCGAGACAGAATACAAGGGGTATCCATGCTGCACTACCATCTTCACCCGAATAGGACGCCTGGTCATAATAGCTGTGTATTTGGTGCAACTTTCAGTCCAGATACAGCGAAAATTTACCGGGCGTTATACTCGGGTGAAGACGGTAGGCACATGATGGTAGTTGCAAACTTCATACAGAGAAACCAGCAGACACCGCTGAGAGAAGAAGAATGTTCCTTACCATCAGTGCAGAGCCAGAAAGCTGCCTTCAATTTCAGTGTTTCATCTAATATCTATGAATCAAGGGAGGGAGGAAGAGGGATATTGCAATCTGCTGTCAGGCCAATCACGTCATGGCCAACTACTCACTGCTAAACTGGAAAATGGGCAATTACCTGAGTGGGCATCCGGGCCGCCCGGGTGACCGGCAGGGGCCCGGGGGAGGTCCCGGGCGGTCTGGCCGGGCAGGGCACCCGGTTGGGGGCCAGGCCCCCCCAGCGCACTCACCTGTCGGGGGATTTGGGAACCCCTTTGTGTGTGTGTGTGTGTGTGTGAGAGAGAGAGAGAGAGAGTGTGTTCGAATCATACTTGCGGCGCATCTCATGCGCGGGGGTGCCGCACGCGCACGCACGCACGCACAAGTGATGCGGCGCATTAAAAAAGTAGAAAAATAAAAACGACCTAGTTGTGTCCAGCCTCTTTTCGGAAGGATCCCTAGAGCATATTAGCTAGGACCCGACGTCATGCAGAGATACACTTCAAACTTGTACTCTGTGAGGGTGGGCAGAGAATATATAGTCTGGATTCGAATTCAGGTCTGTGCATCTCGGTTATGG